GTGGGGGTGGTGATGCTGAGGGTGGTGTGGGGGGTAGTGAGGCTGGGGGTGGTGAGGCTGGGGTGGTGTGGGGGTAGTGAGGCTGGGGGTGGTGAGGCTGGGGGTGGTGTGGGGGGTAGTGAGGCTGAGGGTGGTGATGCTGAGGGTGTGGGGGGTAGTGAGGCTGAGGGTGTGGGGTAGTGAGGCTGAGGGTGGTGTGGGGGTGGTGATGCTGGTGGTGTGGGGGGTAGTGAGGCTGAGGGTGGTGAGGCTGAGGGTGGTGTGGGGGGTAGTGAGGCTGGGAGTGGTGTGGGGGGGTAGTGAGGCTGGGGTGGTTTGGGGGGTAGTGAGGGTGTGGGGGTAGTGAGGTTGAGGGTGGTGTGGGGGTAGTGAGGCTGGGGGTGGTGTGGGGGGTAGTGAGGCTGAGGGTGGTGATGCTGACACTGTCCCTCCTCTCACTAAGAATGCAGCTTCACAATGAATGTAAAATGGATGCTGTCCAGGAGGTGGGAGGGTCTGGGAGGGAGGGTCTGCTGCTGATTGGCTTGAATGTGTCTGCTGACTGTGAGGTACAGGGTCAAAGTTTACTCAATGATGATGAATAGGGGGCGGACCGAACAGTGCAGATGTTCGCCAGGAACTATTCGCCAGCGAACTGTTCGGGACATCACTAACAGTGAACAATTAAACAATAAAGTGATAAATCAATCAATCAAGTAGATAAAATAATGGTCTCAAATTATTTGGTACTCACCATCCAGTACAATTGTCATTGTAGAGGATGTTGCAAACACATACTCCGATCGAGCGGTGTATGACATCACCATGAGTGTGACATCACCACGCAAACTGATGCATGTGATGTCATCGTGCATGTGACTTGCTCAGGATTATACAATAAAAGGGAAGCATTCACTATGCAAATGTGTTTCTGAATAGAAGCAGTTGTAGTAGAAATGTGGAACGGCACTCTGTCCCAAGTGTTATGTAGCTGGTGTAATGGAAGTTACCTTGACCCCAGGCTCAAGGTGCTGAGATGACCGGATGTCCAGTCTGTTTTTAATTATATGTTATGCTTTGGACTTTAAGTTTAGTTTCGAGTGTCTGATAAGTAAGCATAAGTAAGCATAAAATCTTGACTTGTGACATTCTGTGGTTTCTGCAGCTTCACCCTCTGCTCCCTTCCTATGTCCTAACTTGTGTCCTAATGTTTTTTTTTTTTATATTTAACCATTGTAATACGCTTAGTTCTGTATTTTCCTTTTATGGTACAGTGTGACTTCAAGCATCCGGTTTTTGTTGCGCAAGTCACAAAGCTGTTTTTACAAAGTACTATATAATCTGTAAGCTTACGAAATAAAAGAGGAAGTAATCTTTGAATCAAAAACTGTCTGGTCTGATCTGATTACTTTGCTCCAAGCAGCTCGAGAAAAAAATTACAATTTGGTTTCCACCTGAACATATCTCCAGGTAACTTTATAGCCGTTTCACTGGGTGCAACCAGGCCAGGCCCAGTACCAGGGACCAAGTACTCAATAGCAGATAGAAGAAAGGTCCAGGCACTCCAAGGTACAAAAAGGCAAATTTATTGAACCCACTCCACTCACAACGTTTCAACCTATACGGTATTTGTCAAGCTGTGAATAGAAGCCCACTGTGTATATGTGTTTGGAGTAAGTTAAGGCATTTGGATATTGCTCTCAGTACATTTGATGTCTCTTTCCCTTATTTCCCTGGGAGATCTAGATTTCAAATAACATATATACAACAAAGCAATTATAAGATATCAACTTGAGATGTATCAAACAGCATTTTTGTGTCTGTCTTAACAACCTCACTGTAGCGACATGGACAGACTGTCTCCCTTCTTCCTATTATGGTGTATTACTCTTGCATAGGAGAAGGAGAGGGCGGGGTGGGCGTAAGAGGTGGGCATTCCCCCTGATGAGCCTTGCGTTTGTGCATAGTAGTCGTGCCTGGTATCCCCCCCAAAGCATGCCCTCCCCAAGTAAGTAAGGGGTACCCACCCTAGACTGGCAAGGTCCCTTGGATAGGTGTCAGGGGTTTAAGAGATGGGACAAAGTACCCAGGGTATTTGGGGGAGAGAGAAGGAAGGGAAGGGGTAGGGGTATGAAGGTAGCATTACAACATGCGCGTTATCACCCTGCTGGGCCCATATTAGTTGCCCTCTTACCTGTTAATACAATACACCTCAAGTAAGGTATGCCTGACACATCAGGCTAGGCCTCCAGGCTGCATGTGCTGCGGCAGAATCCCGGTAAATGCTGTCCCTGGTTTAGGTTAGTGGAAGCACTCGTCTCGGCCTGGCACTGGGTAGCTGTGAGGCTTGTCTGGAAGTGGATCTATTTGATTTGGTTGGGGATCTTCTCTGCTGTCTCTGGGGTAATGCTTATGTTGCGGTGTCTCCAGGTACCAGTCCGGTATGTCCATTTGAAGTAGGCCAAGTTGACGGAGAAATTTAGGGTAGTCTGCCGCTGACCTCAAGTTAAAAGTTGCACCGTCCTTGGTCACCGTCAGCAAAAACGGGTAGCCCCAGCGGTATTTAATATTCCACTCCTATAGAAGTCCTGTGATTGGACGTAGGGCTCTGTGGCCTTGTAGGGTGGACCATGCCAGGTCCAGGAAGATCTGGAGTTGCAGGTTATCTTGTCTCATGGCTGGGGAGTCCTTGGAGAGTCGAAAGGATATCCTCTTTTAATGTATAGTAGTGGACTACAGATTACATCCCTCAGCTTGTCTTGTGGGAGGTCTTTGGGCCGTAATGCCCTGTGGGCTCTGTCTAGCAGGACCAGAGTGTCTGTAGGTCTGTAAACAGTGCCTGGAGTTTGGCCTGTAAATTTTCCGAGGCTTCCTGTGCCTCCAGTAGGCCTCTCAGGCGCAAATTGTTCCGCCGGCTTCTGTTGTCCAAATATTCAAAATTTCTGGCTATTGTGAGAAATTTATGTTCAATTCCTTCTTGCTTTGTTTCCAGGATTCAGGTAAGTCCCTTCAGCAACATTAGATGGGAGATGGTGGGGAGGGGGCACTGCAGGATCCAACGGGTTTGTTTTCCTGGCACTGGAGAGTAATTTTAATAAATATTTTGTCAATTTAACACAATTGAACATTTACTCGTCAATTAATTTACCACTTTAAGTGCTATACCATATTATTGTGAATAACGATCTTTCATTTTTTTCTCACCAGTGACAGAGCACACTGATGTCAGCCTGCAGCTTGGAAAATCAGCAATACTCATCATGTGAAGGGAAGCATGTAGTTTAACCAGCCGAGTCTGGAAGCATCTTTAAACCACAGTACCACAGTTCACCCTAAAGTGAAAAGATTGTGGATGTAGATTAAATTCAGGACAATCTCAAAAAGAAGTCTCCATAGCTAAAACACATTTGAACGTACCACTATCTAAAAAAAAAAACGGTTTGACTCCTTACAATGTGGGGCACCGGGGCACTTAAGCATGATGTAATAGTTATTGTAACAGGAAAAGGTTGGATTATCACATGATTATTTGTATTGTTGCTTTTCATTTTAATTGTTTTAAATATTTTTTTGAGGTACCATTTGTCTTGGAAAAAGGCATAAGACCAATTGCTGTGTTTTATTTTATATTTTTTATACCTATTATATTAAATAAAGCAGAATCTTATTTAGAATATACCCTGAGTGTTGTCTTCCATATTGGTGTGGTGATTGTCATCAGGAGTGAAGGAGTTCTGGATTACCTCCCCCCCTCCCACCACCCTCATTTTAAGGGGAGGCACTCTAAGGCGATAATACAAGTTTCATTCCACGAGTGCAATTCTGTCAGCGCATATAACTGTGTTATATTTTCTGTTTTGTAGATCTACAGCTGTATTATCTGTACATTTTTGGTTGTATTTGCTGTTTAAGAGATACTCTCTGGGATATCCTTAGAGGAAGTCGTACATATTTTTAATAAAGATAAGGGTTTTTGTTGCACTATTCACAGAATGGTGAGGGTGTAGATATTATTTTTGTGTGTTCAGTACATGGTCTGCCTGTTATTTCATAGGTGCTAATCATATTTTAGAATCTAGTACTACACTGAAGGTGATGACGGGGCTCACAGTTTCCACTCTCCACTAGCCACTGGTGAGTGAAAATGCAGCCCTGGAGAGCAGAAATTCAGCCCAGCGGAGTGTGCTATAGATGAGTGTACTATTTTAAGACCTGGCTAGTAGCATAAAACTTAACATTTTAAATTGGATTTCATCTGTGCAATTATTTCTCATAATGAACAGGTGATAATGCACAGATCACCTCGGTGCAATCTGGTGGAACTCAAAGCACACCAGATTAAACTTGCACATAAAAAAAAAAAAAAGATTTTTATTAATTAGTAATTTAGTAAACATTGTACAGATAAAGTGCAAACAGTAATAAAAGCATGTAAACAGAAAATGACACACATACATATCAGATACAAAGATAAGTGCTCAGTTAAGATACCCACAAACCCATAACAATATATAGGCATAGTAACCCAGACCAGGAGTGACAGCAACCCGTCCCCAACGTTTCGGCATCTAGCCTTCCTCAAGGGGGATCTCAAACAATATGGTCCATGTTCCTTTTTATATACCAAAAGTCTTGGGGAAATAGTAGCCTAAATAGATACAGAAGTGTGAAGGGGGCCAGGAATGAGACCAATAGGTCTACTTGACATACAGAGTTTCTTCCAGGTTCCCATGATGTCATCACGTATCTACGACGTCTAACGTGATTTACACGTGACGTAATCACGTATACATGGCATCTGACGTGATTTAAACGTATCGACCCGTTGCTCACACCAACAGTAATATGAAACAAATGAACGAGAGTAGGAATCCTAAGTGTAATCTTGTTATCTGGATATGATAAAATGTATAATCATCCCATAGCCAGGCACTTGCGGTATAGAATGTTATTGCGTGTGGATATAGAGCATGGTTAAACTCCTATAAGAGTATAACCAGCTTATTGTAACAAATATAGTCTGGAAATATGTTAATACTCGAAGGTAAAAGGGAACTTCTATTGAGGAAGAACAAAACATAAGGGGAAAAAAAAGAAATGTACACATTGGGATTGCCCAGATGCAAAATACAAATACATTATACAATTGTCACATATACAGTATTAGTGATGTCCCGAACGGTTCGCTGGACGGCGAACATATGACCCTGTACCTCACAGTCAGCAGACACATTCCAGCCAATCAGCAGCAGACCCTCCCACCTCCTGGACAGCATCCATTTTGAAGCTGCATTCTTAGTGAGCTGTCCAGGAGGTGAGAGGGTCTGGGAGGGAGGGTCTGCTGCTGATTGGCTGGAATGTGTCTGCTCACTGTGAGGTACAGGGTCATATGTTCGCCGTCCGCGGAGAACCTTTCAGCGAACCGTTCGGGACATCACTATATACAACCCAGATATGGACAACTTGATAAATCCCATCCATTAGTCATCACTACCCAAAACATATACATGGTATAACAATAAATAGACCTGAACAAAAACTCATAAGCAGAAATATGAACAAAAATATTCAAATAACCATATCAGTACCCAAATCAGGAATTTACACATGATGTACATGTATGACAGAAAATTGCAAAAAATGATTCTATATAACATATATGGGGCCCGATATATAACAAAAATAGAAAAATACATGAATTTAAAAAAAAATAATAATAATTAAAAAAAATAACAATTAGAAAAAACACACAAAAATAAACAAGAAAATATATACAAAATAATATTTATACAAAAATAATATATAGGAACAACAGATCCGTGGGCTCCGGGGGTGGGGGGGTGGGGAGGGAGTTGGATGGACAGACCCCCCCAGAGTCCATAGATGTGAGTGCCTGAAGAACCATAAAAACCAAAGAATATCCAGGTCCCACTCAAGGATCCACAGGGTCTGAGCAGGCAATCGGCATATCCCGTAGTCCTGGATCTGAGAATATGAACAGGAAAGGAAAACATTAGTTTTTTTAGGAACTTCAGTAATTCACTTGATAAAGCTTACTGTGTAGGTGAAATGTGTTGTGGATTATTTTATTCCCCTTTATTTTAATTTTTTAATGCAATAAAGTACATTTGGCATATACCCATATTGAATTTTAAACCATATGTTTTTTTCTTTCTATTTTTACTATTTTTTATTTGGTTCCTGGCACCCTGTGAAGTATCCTGCTGAAGACCCTTGAGCATATTATTCTTGGTGGGGATTACATCACCTATGTAAAAAACACTAAGCGGTTTACCTGCTTTCACAAATTTCAGTATGTTTCTTCTATTATTCTATTTACTCACTATACCAGAGAGCACTATTTGTGTTTTTTTTTATTTTATTTTTCATATTTTTGCCCATATTGCTGATGAGGCTGGGATATATACATTCCTTAGGTTGAGATTAAACCACACTAAGTCTGACCTGCTGAGCTTGCACTATTACTACTATATTACTACACATCCATCATTGATTACCAAACTACCTGTTCTCTTTCGGTCTCTCTACATGTACCCACAAAATAATCAAATACTATATGAAGCAAGGCCATCTGCTAGAAAACGGGAAATCTAGATTGTGTCCCCGAGACTTTTTTCATAATTTTACTCTTGTATATACTATATATCTGACATTACGTGCATCCTGTTGTATTCTTTTCTGTGCTTATCTGTAGGATTACTAAGGGTTGGCTTTTTCAGTGGTTACTGCTGCAGGTAATATATTGTTCTACTGATCAGCAATTATCCTCCCTGTATTTGCTTGCTCCTTATAAAGTGCTAAGTTTTATGTTTCCTTTTTATTAATTATATACACAAATGCATCTTATTTATCAATACAGCACAATATTAAATGTACATTATTGCAATATAATATTAAATACAATAAGAAACAGACATACAACACTTTACTAACATTAACATATGTCAGAAACATACAGAAGTGGAGGAGTGAGGGGAGCTAATTTTTAATTATATTTTCTTCTTAGCATAAGTGAGAAAGACCACAAATGGAAAATCTGTAATCCGTAATAAGTTCACCATTTTTTTTGCATGGAAAATTCACATTTTTTTTTTCTCGATTTACAAAAGATACCAAGCTCCATGTTTAATTGGTGTAAAACGTGATTCCTTACTTCACGTCATTAAGGTGTATTAAATGATCTCCACTTTTTAGCTATTAGATATGTTGATGCTATACAGATATGTATCAAGAGTTCTTTTTCTATTTTTGTCAGATTTTTTTTTATATTTAGATGTATTACGAATAATTCAGGTTTGAAATCTAATTCTTTCCTGTTATGGTTCCGCGTGATTCTGTCAGTGTGGTCGCACAGAAACACGTCGGTCATGCAGACAGAAATAAATACTTAACTACCTGACCTCCTTCCGTCCCAGTCCCCAGCATGCCGGCCGCTGCAGTTCCGGTTTTAATGGGGATATAGCCTTTGTCCACATCAAAGATGGCGCTTATGTGCGTGCGACGTCACGTCATAGATGTGCACGCACGTTTTTGGGTCAGAGGCCACATACAACCAATTACAGCTTCAGGAGGGTTAAATCAAATTGCCTTTTGATCAGTGCCCTGTCGTGGTTTCCATTGGCTGGTTATCCGAGAGTGTATTCCTGATCGTGTTTTTCAGATTTTTGACTTTGGGTCCGTTTTGACTTCCCTGATTTCTGGTATCCTTGACTTTTGGCTTTTCCAAATTGTTGTGTCTCATTCTGTGTCCCTGACCTCGGCAAGTATTTTGACTATTCTAGGATACGTTAAGTCCAACCATTCAAAAGTCTGGTTAGACATTATCCTAAGTCATTGGTGTGATTCTATTTCAGCGTGCTGGATCAACAGTAATCCTGACATTTCCCTACTAGATTCTCTATATTTTTCTTGATCATTAGTCAAAAATGTTTGAGAGGATCACATTTCCACCAAATGTGCATAAAGTCTGCAGTTTGTAAATTACATCTCCAGAATAGCTCTATAGTCTTTGAATCATCTTTTTCAATTTGCTGGGTACCAAATACCATCTTGTTAATACCTTGAAATGTTCTGTTAAATTAAAGCAGTGCATATTTTCATTTACCAGCGTTTGTGATTTTAAGCAATTGGATTAAGGCATCTGTATACTTAAGTGTTCGCTACTATTATAAAAAAAATGGGAAGAAGACATTATCATTAATGAGGTACGTATCTTTAATTTATCCCGTGCGAATAGTTTCTCGATCTCTTTAATGCGACCTCATGGTTCTAACACTAAAAATCTTTGTAAATAATGCTTTATTCTTAAATAAGAGAAAAACCTTGGCAGTCCAGGCTATCTGTAACAGTTCAAAGGATTTAATTTGTTGTTTTAAGACCAGATTTAGCAAGGTTAATATGAATTAAGTTATTAAGTCTATTAAGAGAAAAATTATTTTGTTTTTCAAATTCATATTTTTTTTATTCCAGACTTTTAATAAAACAATGATTACTCTATATTTGACACAAATTATTTTATTTATATTAAATAGCCTGACAAAATATAAAATTTAGCTACCTACCACGCATTAATAATCGTTCTTCCATTGATTTCCATGGTTCTTGTAGTGTCATAACAATGTCATCTACATACAAATCGATTTGAATCATAATTAAATATCTTTATTGCTTGATTTTCTCTAACAGCGCAGGACAGGATCTCAATTATGATGTCATACAATAATAGGGATAAGCTCCATTACCAATTATCCTCGCTCTTGGTTTTTAATACAGCATCATGATTGCGATGATTGGATTGAGTATGTTTCCATCAAACCCCATTGTATGTAAGGCACTTTCCAGGATTTCCCACCTGACCCTGCCAAATGCCTTCTCAGCATCAAGGGACAGGGTCAGTAGAAGAACCCCATTCTAATGGGTCTACTAATCTACATATTTGTTTGCCGACAGTCTCCCTGGGATGAATTTGATCGGGATGTATCAAGCTCGTGATAACCTTTATTCTTTGAGCAAATATTTTAATATCAGCATTTAATAACGCGACTGGGTGATAATTAGAAATTCTCGTTGGATCATTGCCTGGTTTAAGTATTGGTAGAATGCTAGTCTGGTTTAGTCCTTGAGGTATTACTCCCCCTTGCATAAAAAAATTAAAAAAAATGAAACATCTTTGTTAGATCTAGGCTAATATTGTCTTTAAAACATTTGAAAAATTGATTACAATATCCATTGGATCTTGGGGATTTCTTCTGTTCAAGTTTATCTATTATTTATGTAACTTTTACTTCACTGATTATTTCATTTAAATCCTCCAATTGTTTTAAGTTTAATTTTGGTAGATGTAATTTTTGAAGGAAATGTCTTAATTTAATGTCAATTTTGCCTGGAAGGTTATAAAGTGCATGGTATCTTATTTAATCTGGTGATAGATTTATCTTTATCCAATTATTTTATAAAGTAAAGTTATTTGTTCTGTTTTTTTTTTTAGTTTATTTGACATTATATATATATATACACACACAATTTTTTTTGCACAATAATATCTATTTATATTAAGTCTTTCTAGAATCTTATGTGTTTTATTAATAAATATTACATTTATATTGTTTTGAATTTGATCAATTTCTTGCGTTATGTTCGGATTCATTATTCATTGCGTTATGTTCTGAGTTTTTGATTTATTTATTTTTCTATTGATCCGAATTTGATTAACTGAACCCTTATTCCACTTTTATATGTACACCATAGTATTGTGGGGGAGAAGTCTTCACTTCTGTTTGTGTACTTATTTGTAACTGGCGAATATTTTGCTGTTTTTTGGAAGGCTTTTAATTAATCTTCAGTTCGCTCTAGGTCTTTTTACATCTTCTTCCAAGTCCATTATTACAAAATTGTGACCTGACCAAGTATATTCTTTAATAAATATCTATTTTACCATTCAAGCGATACTTTTTTCTGTGAAAAACAAAGTCTATCCAGGAGTATGTGCAAAATGTCTTGGGAAAACAAGTATAGTGTAAATCTTGAGGATGTAAAACTCACCACAAATCCAATAATGAATCAGATTTGATTAATTCTCTAGATCTAGCTGTATTATTGAACAGTTGTTTGTCTTGTTTTAAGACTCTATAAGATCATCTATTCATAGTTATATCCATTAAACAATTCAAGTCCCCTAGTAATATCAGTTCTCCTTGTCTGATTCGCTCAGTTCTTATGAGACTTTTTAACTTTTTAAAATAAATTTTATTGGTGCCTAGTGTGGGGCATATATGTTTTAATTGTATAAAATTTAATTTTTTTTATTTCTCCTATTAGTATTATATAACATCCTTCTTGATCGATCTTCTGATAAATAAGTAGAAAGGGGGGTCTTTCTTTAGCGATTATAGCTACACCCCTCTTTTTTTCCTTTGAATGATGCAGCAACAATAAATGGGAATTTGTTATTAAAATTATCTTATTTATCTTCTAATAACCAATGTGTTTCTTGAATTGCACAAATATTGATATTTTCTCTATATAAAATTGATCTAAAAGAATATATATTTTTTTGTGGCGAGCTTTACCCTGGGTATTAATAGATGCTACCCTAATATTTATTATATTTCCTTTCTAAGTCCCCCTGTAACCATCTCATCAAATCCCACACATATCC